TTTTTTCTGAAACAATCAATACAAGAACTCTAGGAACCTAGACACTTAAAAAGGACTATCCTGGAATGACAATTATCAGTGAATAACATAATCAGTCTAAAATATACTTTTAAAGGAAAGTCCTACAAAAATTAGGTTAATTGACAGGTACATATCAGCCTTAACTTGGGCCATACAGGCCAAGTATATATTCAAAATCTTTTGTATGCCAAACACTCTGTGCTTTATTACAAACATTTCTAGTCGGATTACTTTGTATGACAAGAGACTGCAATTTATCTTTCCGGTATATTTATTTGGAAGGGAAGCTTTTCCATTTATGAATATCCTACTAATCTCACAAAACCAGCAAAGCTTGGGAATCAAGGAACTTACTTCTCGAATCCCATGGCTCAGTAAAGATGCCTATTCCATAGTTTACCCCCCAGACACTTTAAATGTATGTCTAGGATGGAAGATTGAGACAGGTGGGTACAAAGAAATTTACCAAAATGATGCACTTTTGGATCTTCTATTGTGTGTTTTCTTTGTAAACAAGGCTACACAAAGAATCGTTGAGTTTCAGCAAAAGCACTCCAGCACAATTTAGAGCTGCTTAAGAAACTGCTGCAGGGAGTACATAGTGTGAGAACCACAGTCAGAGCAAATGCCACAGAGAGTGCCCCATGCCTCCGTCACTGATACAGGGAGGGCGGCAGAGCTCTGGATTTTGTTCTCTGCACCCTGCCCAAAGCCCCATGACTTGCTAGCTGAAGAAGCTTTCTGTGGGTCCATGCTGGAGTGAAACAGAAACACAGGCTCTGAACTGGACGAGGCTTCTTGGCTTCCCAAGTCCTCATGCAGAGCCTCCTGACAGAATGTGAACACACCCACACTTAACCAGGACAGGACAGGCTTCCTTTGTGAGCCCTTGCTAGAAGGCAGAGAAAGGGGAAGTTTGCTCGGTGCTCAGCAACCTGCTCCTCCTTCTGCGAACTTTTTGATCACACATTTTCTCCAAATTAAAATTGATGACGTTTACCTAAGTGTGGAATACTTGAAATTGGTCATTACATTGAACAATGATATTGTTGAATCTATAAGGCTATTTATTCATGTCGGGTAATGATATGATATGTATGACTAACTGTACCTACCCAGGAAGTGGTTTTATTTAAAACTTTTGTCCTCACCCCACCCCCTGCCTTTTTTTTTTTCCCTCTAGTACTGAAATTAAGCAGCAGTCAACAGAGGCCTTCTCTTACACCATGTGACATTACTGCTTTCCGTTTTTGTTCAACAAGTCATTAACAGTTCAGAGTTGATGGCGGTTTCAGTAACAAGCCCTCACTGAGAAAGGTGAGTGAGTTTTAACTTTATTGGTACATGAAACTTAAACTTGCAGACGTTTGGCAGAGTCTCCTACATCTTGGTGTGAACATATGAACATTCTACAAAATATGATGCTTCTATCTGTGGTTAAAACATTATTTTGTTTCCTTTGGTATAGCAAAGCATATTATTTTCATATTTGCTGCTGCCAGATTCTAAGGTATTTTACTAGGATAAGCTGCTAGGATTTTAGACTAAAATATTAAAGACAGAATACAGTATAGGTTTGGTTTGTAAGTGCTTTCAAAACTACTAGAAAAAATGTGGGACTATTCACCTTTAGTTGACTGATTTTTGTAAAAAAAAAAAAAAAAAAAAAAAAAAAAAAAAAAGTATTATTCAAGATCCAGATAGTGTGAAATAAAAAGCATTTCATAATAATAAGAAATAACATCTTCAATTTTACTGTGAAAAATACTTACTTTAAACGTTGTATTAAACCTGCATTAAAAGCCTTTAGAGTTTCTTAAATATATATCTTGCTGAATAGATATTTAAATGCAAGCAATTTTTTAAATGTGAGAGAGATATTCATTATTATGACAAATGAAGTTGTTTTCTCAGATTTGTTTGAGACATGAGGTAAAATGAGGGCAATTCTCTAAAACATAAACAAAACTTTATGTTTCAAAATTGTCAGAGACAGCTTCACTAAAGGATAATTCTGGGATGAGAAGCAAATCAGAAAGAGACTTTTTGTTATGTAAGGTAGTTATATAATTGTTTTTTCAGATTTTCCAACATAATTACCTTTACAAATAAAAAAGATTTGTTAACCGTGCATTGACAAGAATTGTTCTCTTACATTGACTTCTTCCTTTAATAGAATGTTTTGTGTGCATCCATGCAGAAAACATAAAAATATTGCTAATCTCAAGACAAATGCCTAAAATAAAACTGACTGTGGAGTTTTGAAAGAATTTTAATAAAAGCCCAAGATATGATCCACTCATCCCTAATATTATTTTTATTGTACTACTGGAAGGGAGAAATGATGGCCTCTATATTACTGATTTTTTGTGTTATTAAAAATAGTCAGAGGGTAGATAAGTGGCAACAAGTTTTTCTTTTTCTTTTATTGTCTTCCTTTCAAAGACACATATAAATTTTTCTCAACATGATCAATTTAGTAGGAAATTATCAGGCACACTAGCACACTCTACTTTAAGATCTTTTCAGTTGTCAATAGTATAGATAGTTGCTTGTTGACTATTAAAATGATTATGGAAAAATAGAGATTAGGACAGAGAGTACAATACTTGTTTTTATTGTTAGAGTATCAGAAGACACTAGTAATATGTTTTTGCTTTGATATTCTGATTAGAATTTAATTTGTTCCATTTCCTCACAATGGGAAGCATCATTTAAGTCTGTCTCCAATATTCTGATTCTGAACCTCTGCATGTATAGAAGATGTATAATTCAGATTATTTGTGTTGATATGTTATTATTTTATTTTATTATGAAAGATTAGTACATGAATAAACATGTAGTATTTACATACTAGCAATAATGAATGTCCAGATGATCATCTATCAATGAAGAAAAGTCTTCTAAGGTTTTTGAAAACAAGTCCATCGTAAAAAATGAGTGTTTCTTATGTAAAGTGTTAAAATATTAATATTTATGGAGTATGTGTAAAATAAAGATGAATTAAAGCAGAGCTTGGAATGAATTGACAAAATGCATCTACTGAAGATGACAGGCAAAGTACAATACTCTCAGAATAGTTTTTATATGTGGTTCATAATCTCTTGAATGTTCTGACCAAAGCAAGATAGTCAATTACAAATGAGCTTCTATATATTACTGTGTTTTTATACATTTTAAAGGAACCAAGTTATGGTGAAATAATACAATAGAGAAGATCTCATTTGGAAAGTCATTTCAAAGCTCATTTGCTAATAGAATATTATGCCCTTCTAGTCAGGGCCATCATTTAGCAAAATTCAGAATGAAAGGAAATCATTTTTGATTCATCCTTTTGCTTTTTAATGCTCTGCTATAGAATAGTCTCCTTTGCCCCAAATTTAGAATCCCACAGCTTTGGTACCTAGAACTATAGGCCTTATCTTGCCCCTTCAATTCCGCATTATTGTGTTTAAAATGTTCATCCATTTCCCAGAACACAGAGATCCTACTGCAAACAGTCCACACTCATAAGAGAAGGCTACAGACTTCTGACGTCTTTGACAGGCCTTTCCTTTCTGCACTGTAGAATCTTAGTAAGTTGTCTTAGCAGATAGGATCCAAATGATCAACTAAAGCCTGCGGATTCCAGGTACACACAAAGAGACTGATGCCATGGATAACAGTTGAGGAGAGATGTGTTGGGGTAGTGTTTGTTACCCATTCGTTCTACCAGTAGTATTTAAATAGAATTTCTGAGAGTGCCTTATGTGAAGGATCCATCACAGAGATGTATCCATTCATCTAAAATATTCCTGAAGAAATATACATAGGTAAAAATAATTGCAGTAGGTTAAAAATAATAGCACTATGTTTTCAGACCATTCTAATATTTTCATATACTTAGAAAATATCTAGCATAATCAATGATTTTATAGATGTATTTCAAAAGCCATTTAATACTATGAATTTAACTCTTTAAGTACTAAAATCATATTTTTATATTATAAAATGTTAAAAGATTATACTTGGAAATGCATATATGTTTTAAATTCAGACAGTAATAGAGAATTTTTTTTGCAGATAATGTAAAATAGTTTAATTTAGCCTAGGCAATAGTGACATTCCTTATTTGTGAAAAGTCCAAGAACAATAAGCTTAGGTATGAGGAGATCTAGAAGCTCACACTGGATTAATATTGGGTCTCATTTCTTTTCATTCATTAGTTCTTGTTTTCACCTTGCTGTAAACATCCTTTAGTAGAAACATCCATTAAGTTAGCAAAAACTTCAAGTTAATATCTAATCCTTTCAACAAACTTTGCAGTTAACTAATGCTTTTCCCCATCACCACAGAAAAGCCTCCGATTTGGGTGTTGATCACACGCTTGAGCAGATCAGTCACTGATTACAGACACAGGGAGTCCAAGTAGTAAGACCTATGTGTCAGACCTACTCTTGCATGTAGGACCCCTGCACCTTCGCATTTTGGCTGAAAACAGAGGTCCTCTGACATAGAAAATAAATCATTGTGTATGGCAAACAGGTACTAATAAAACATTTTTTTATTATATGGATTTCCCTAGAAGTAAGGTGACTTTGTCTCATATGGGTGAAACCCACAAAACTCTACTAGAGAGACACATCTGGTCACATTTTAAAGTAGTGTTTCCCAACTTTTTCAAACTCTCTAGTCACACAGAAGTATAATGTGTCTAAATGAAATAAGACTTCCTACTAACTGAATTTAAGATTATTTTAATGGGTACTCAATGTATGAAACCATTTAAAATCTTTGTCTTCTAAAAATTTTCATCTAGTATTAAATCATACAAATGTTTTAAAATTGGATATTTATATTATTGTAGTTATATCAATTTATAAATAAAATGTATTAGTTACCATTAAAACATACAAAAGTATTCTTAGGGTTTAGAATTTCACTTTTTTTATTCCTTTTATTCACCAGGCAATAAACCAAAGGATTTTGTATCATATGTCAATTTTTTACATTCTCTCAGGCAATTCAAAACAGTCTCAGGGGGATTTTTTTGTGGTAGTTTTCAGAGAAATCTATTTTAAAAGACAGGATGAGAATGTATAGATGCAAAAACATGATATGGTAGATAATTTCGAGGGGAAAATGACTTATACACTTTATTGGACAGAAATATAGTAATGGTAAGTCAGTCCAGAAAGATAGTTTCAGACCATGGAAAGGACTTTCTAGCAGACTGTAGCTCAGGTTGATAAGAAACCATAGTGTATGAAGTAGATGGTGTACATAATTGTATATTGACACTTTCAGGTTTGGATGGGTTGTCTGCTTCTCCACTGAGTTCACCCACCATTATGTGACTTAAGCTTCAGGTTACTTTGCAGAAATGGCTGTGCTTATAAAGGGCATTATTCCTGTAAGAACAGAAAAGAACTTTCTTCCTGTCAGTTACATGAGGCTCTTATCCATGCTGTACCTATAATGATCCTTTTCTTTTCATAGAAATCTTGCTAGGTCTTAATTTGAGAATACATGATATAATTAAATGTGCAAAAATGAAACCTCAATATAAAACTTTCAGATAAGATCTAATATTTTATTTCTAATTACCTTATTCATTCTCATCTTAACAAAACAGGCAATCATTTTTCATTTTTTTAATCTTTCATAGTCTCTTTATGCAAAACAACTATATATATGAATAGATATGCTAAGATATGTGTTTACGTATCTTCTTTAATGTACTAAAAGATGCATAAGTACATATACTTCTATATTGTGCTTTTTCTTTTAGAAATGTATCTTCAAAGTATTTTTATAACAAAAATAAGAAACTACCTAATGCTCTTTTTATAATTGCACAATATTCCATTGTACAGATGTATCATACTTAATTTAACAGACACTTTATTGAAAGAGTTATAGTCATGGGAATTTTTAATTTTATGCTCATATGATATCTTTTTTTTTTTAGCTTTAATTGAGTTTATTGATACATTTTAGGGATATAGTACAGTTACATTCATTGTTGGGATCTTGTATCTCTACATGACAAATCTTGATTCTCATTTTTTCCCCTTACCCCTGCCCTCCCTTCACCCCCTCCTCCCCTCCCCAAACACTTTATTTTCTTAATGTAAATTGTAACTGTGTACATTTGAGATACACACCTGTGTATTACAAGGGATGAAATGTTGATAATTGCAACCAAGCTACCCTTGCTGTTGGCTGTAAATTTTTGAGCTTCCACTAGCATTTCATGAGCATGCTGGTAGAAAGAACACAGCTTTTTATTACTGTTTTTTTTTTTTTTGATACCGGGGATTGAACTCGGGTCCTTG